CCCGATCTCGATCTCGGCAAAGAAGCATCGAAGGTTTCCAAGATCAGGATGCCGGCGGGGGTGGGGGAAGGGCGGACTAAACGTTTTCACGTGCATGGAGGCCGTCTCGATGTGCAAGAGCGGTGGTTGGGCGACCACTGCAAACCAGAAACAGGCCAGTTGAGTGTGAACACGGTTGTGCTTCACCACTATCTGCTGTCCAGCCAAGCTGGCAAAACGTGTAAGTTTGTAGGTCATTGCCAAGTCTCTCCAGTTGTTTGGGCTTGGCAGACGGCACTCGATAGACCACTGCCAACATGATTAAGATGTGACGCTGGGCAAAGGTTATCGTTTGCAACGAAAGACTGGCAGCTTGCTAATTTGTAGTACAGTTTGCACCGGAACCTCTTCCGAAGATTTTGGACGAGCTTCAAGTCATGTAATTGTGCCATGATGTAGTGGACAATGTTCGGAAAGCATGGCGCGCCTGCATTTTTGAGCAGTACTAAGCACTACTTTTGTTTATACAATGTCTCCCACTTAAAGCATGTTGCGTCATGCTACGGAAGCTGCAAACTCAAGGAGTGTTGCTTGGTGCGCTTCATGGACCTTTGACTTTGGCCAGTCTTTTCGTTTGCTGTATGGTTCCTGCCGCAATTTGCCTCATCATGTTCGAGCAGTGGACTTATCTGTCTCATGAATGGTTGTTCCCGGGTAGGCTTATCCTACTTTGGCAGGCTTGCTTCTCGAAGGGCAGTAAGGTGGCATTGACATTCACATGAGCTGTTTTTTGGGATTTGGTGATTGAATAAGCACGCACTTAAGTGTCGGTCTTGTGCCGACTTGTCTCCTGCACATGGCTGGCTTGGGCTGTGGCAGATATGGAAGTGGCTACAACATGTTCATTGGCGATCGTACAATGTCAGGGGGCTTGAGCCTCGGCACTCTGGTGTTTTGGCAACGCCATGTCTCACGACGGCTGGGTATTGAACATCCTTGATGTTCCGTCTTGTGATGTTCATGGCAGGTGGAATTCCAAAATTCTTCACCTCGCAAGCAACATGGAATGCCAGCAACAGCAAAAGTTGGTTGTCACTGCGATCTGCACGCAAGATCCCTACGTGGGGGAGCAACGGGAATGGTTTACAAGGATTTGAAAGGAGAAGCCTGTCTTTGATTACCGCCCGCACAAGCCGGAAGTGTCCGTGGGCATGTCAGATATTTCCTGCCTAGAGCCGTAAACGTGTCAAAGCGTGTTCTGTCGCTCCATTCATCTATGCAGCTGTCCATCATCGAGGCACTGGCGTTCAAAGTCGGATTGGGAATAAGCTGGCTATCTCTTTTTCATAAGTCAAAAGCAAAAAGGTGTAGACCTAAAGTCGACGGCCATGTTTCTTCGCAACAGCCAGGGAGCTGGATGTGCCATTTGTGTCAGTTCAGCTGGACGAGTTTCGCAGAACGCTCACGGCATCCTTGTGCATCGGACGGCGAAGCAAGAGAATGTCAGTGATGTTTGGTTTTGACATGTCGGTAGCCTGTGCTGCATAGAATCGTAGACCACTTCTCTGCGTCTCCGTTCCGGCTTTCATGTGTCTTACGCCGGGAGGCTGGCCCTGACCCTGGCAGAGTATTAGGACGGGACGGCGGCCGCGGTTGACTCTGAAAGAACTACAGATCACGCTGGGAGGTGTGAACTCCTTAAGTTCTTGAGTTTGGTGCGGATGCCATGATCCCAGTTGATGCTGCGAGTATTCGATGTTCGGCAGGGCGATTTGAAGCGGTGTTTGTGCGAAGCACCCAAATTCAGGCTGACTCGTGCTTGTTGCAACATTGTTGGGTTTGGATCCGTTGCTTTGCCCGTGCCTGTGGCCTGCGTCGCCTGCGTCGCCTGCGTGCTTGTTGTTCGCAGACCTTCACCAGGCGGGGCCGAAAAGGAGCCTTGTAGGGGCCTCGAGGCCGAGAGAGAGACTGCTCGCACGGCGAGCAGAGGTCGTCCACGTTGCCTCACTTTCGATGCTCTGTGATGTCAAGGCTTACAGCTGGACGATGGGAGTTGCCCTACCCCTCCTTGTGGTGGCAGCTAGTCAGCTTCCTTACGTGTGCTTGCGGAAGGCTGCAACAGCTGCATAGCTACAGTTGGGTGTCGACGGGCGAACACTGCTCTGAATGCCTTAGTATGTGGATGGCCCTATGCCCGGCACAGTCGCTGAATCAGGTCAAACAGTGGTTGCACAGGACAAGATCTGCCGCCTCTAGTTACCGTTTAAAAGTTTGCAGTGTGGTTCCGGTTCAAAGCAATCTGCGGAGGCAGAAATTCTGTTCACGCCGCCGCGTGCAAGCAGTAGTGTACTCCAGTTTCTCAAAGTCTTGGCCTAAGCACATGCTGCATAGTCCAAGACTGAAAGGAAAAAGCCTTAGCGTGTGCAGCTGGAAGCTGCCCATGGCTCCAAGCTTCACTTCGCCGTGTGCTCACTGCACTTCATGTCCTCAGAATCTGCGTGGTCCAAAGGTGTTGCATAGTGGAGACCAAAGCCTCATAAAGGTACAGATGCGGCTCACTCAGTTCCCGCTCCCTGCCCGAATGATTCTGTCAGAATGAAGCAGAAGCAGCATCTCGTCATCAAACTTCTGAGTAGTCTGGTCGGCCGCTCGGGGCGATCTCCCTGACAAAGGCTACATTACATGATCCACCCGTGCCCACTTCCAAGTTAAAGGATTCGTTCGCGGCTCTTTCGGTCTTCTGTGTTTCGCTTCCGCTCCTCAGCTTGCACGGCAGAAGTGGCTGAGCAGCGGTGCAGGATGTGAAACCTCGCAGGGCAGGCTTTGTCAAGCATGTGCTGTTTAGCACGTTGTTCGACAAGCTGGTGTGCCATCCTGACAGCTCCGAAGCGCTCGCTGCAAAAGGCTCCGCACAAGTGCACCTCGTCGTAGGATAAAGATCAGATGAAGCACCCTGGGCAGTGGTGTCCTGCCCCGAGGAGAGGCCATCGCTTGAGGCCTGAATGGTGGAGGTGCTGTGCCTCACGGCCGCCTTTGCCCTCGCTCCAGCAGCTGAAGTCAGAGGATGTCTCCGCCCGGTTTGAGTGCCTAGCAGCGTTTGTATCCTCGCTTCGAACCCTTGCGCCTGTGACTAACGTTCATTTTCGGGACGTGTTAGTGTGGGTGCTACGTTTGAGAGGCCCTAGACCTGCCTTCTTCTGGCAAACAGCATCAATAGCAGTTTGCAGCACCTTCAGATGTCATTCCCCGTTTGTTCCGAAATCCCAAACCACAGTCCAGCCCAGGCTTGTGTCCCACGGCCGACCCGGAATGGGCTTGTGGTACTCGTTTCCTGTCCTCCAAAATCGGAGCCCTAAGCCCTAAGACCTTGCGGGGTTTGATGTATCCATGTTTGCAGTCTTGCAGGGAGCAGGGCCTGCAGGTTCAGCGCACATTCTGCCACGACTACTCAGACCATCCATGACGGCCTTGTGGCAGATCATGCTGGAGGATTCAAACAGCATCCTGGCATTTCAAGGAGTCTCAACGCGTCTCCGTGTGCAAGCGGTCCAAGCCCACGTGAGGCGGAAGATGCTGACGCATCTTGGTTACAGCTCAACATGTGTTCGTTTTGCCCGGACTAGGGTGCATCACTTCTAGGGGTTAACGTAGAAGTCTTTGGGGTTGGGACGCTTTCCATTTCTGGCGTTTTGCCGCTGTAAGCTTCAAGGCCGAGCACTTCCGCAGAGCATTCCTCAAAGCATAGACTTGTCCTGTAGTCCTCTGTGGACAGGGAAGTGAAGCTACAGCAAGCTCAGCTGGCGACACCACTTAGGGATGCGCCGGTCTGCGATTCCACGCGGTTTAGAAGCTGTCATGAAAATGCGTGGATAGGTTCATGTTAGGGGCTTGACAGCGCAGCTCTCGGAGCAGGCGCCGCTGTAAACGACATCTTTCGGACAGTCTTGCGGTGACAGCGGAGAAGTGCAAGCCGGAAGCTGAAGGCACTCGTCCCCGCAAAAACCCGCCGAAAGTCACGACTTCACGACTTCACTGCATGCCCCTGAGTGGCTCTTGGGTGTCTGTAGGCTTTTGTGCCATCGTCGATCTGAAGATTGCGCCACTTTGAGTTGGCCTCGGGGCCTAGCAGCTTTCAAGCCGGAAGATCAGTGCCCAATGAAGCTTGGAGAGCGTCCACGTTTACAAGCATGGCTCCGGAGTCCGATCGCCTTTCTTCGCACTTCTAGCTCGGAAAGCCGCACGCACCTGCAACACCTGCAGCACTTGCACCTGCACCGGCAGAAGCCGTTCTTGCAACGGTCGCAAACTGGAGAGCCGCGTGTTCAGTTTCCGAGCTTCTTAGCTGCTGCACGTCGATTGTTGAGTCTTCTCCAGCAGTTGGTTGCTTCAGCCTCTACACGCAGCTGACTTGGGTTCTGGCACGTCGCGCGGTAGCACATGGCGTCTTTCATTGCCTGGTGCCAACCGCCAGGTCACACTTCTTAGCTGCGACATGTGCTCAGACACCTAGACGTCGGCTGGAGCTGAGCCTCCGGAAGAGCTACTTTGGGTGTGGGCATTCTGCGGGCGGCTCTTCGCCCCTGTTCATAAAGTTTTTGGATCGAGCATTCTTTGCGAGGGCGCGAGGCCTGCAAGGACTCTCAGACTTGGGATCTCCCTGGACCGCGCCCGCCCGGCGCTGCTGCTTGGCACCACAGCGCTTTCACTAAGTCGGCGGAACGCTGCACCTGGCGAAGGTGTTGTGTCGCCGACAGCAACTGCGGCTTTTGTGCTGAGCCGACTGCAGCCCTTCAGCCGTGTTAATCAATTCTGAAATAGGCAAGCCTGCATCTCCGCCCGGCCCTTGGCAGTCCTTGCCAAGCTGGGTTCATGTCCCGCAGTACAACTGCAGAACCGTAAAATGACTTTCGCTGGCACGCGGAAGAGTTGCAGTGCCCCTTTGCATCGGCCTTGCAGTCCGGCTGCTGTCACTGCCGTCGCGACGCTGAGAGCCGCCCTGCCGCTCTAAGCACCGCGAAGAGATGGCAGGTCAGCTTTGCTTCAGAGGCCAGCAGGGCCAGCAGGGCCAGGAGACCTTCTGCAGCCGACGGCCTGCGGGCGAGAGAAGTGCTTTCCGAGTCGAGCATTGGCTTAGAGATGCTTCTCCAGAACATCGGCTGGAGCATCGCGCGCACGGCCCCGGTGCCAGAGTCCAAGACGAGCCAGAAGGTTTCGTCGGAGTAACATCGGAAGTCTTCAGCTCTGTGCGTTCCGAATGTGATGAAACATTGGAGCCATTTCTCCTTGACCGGAAAAGGCGACGACAGGTCGAGTCAGAGGAGTTGGAGCTAGAGCAGCTCGTGGCATCTAAAGGGCCTCGACTACCGGTTCCCACACGGCACTGTGAATTCTGCGTGTCACCGGCTGAGCCACAGGAGCCACAGGAGCCACAGGAGCCACAGACGCCGGCAACGACGTAAGAACGACCTGTGACTCCGAGGCCTCCGATGGGAGCCGCAGCCGCTCCTCCGCCGCTTTTTGCGCCGCTGTTTCCACAACTTGCACAGTCTCACTGCCGTTTAAAGGCACCTCTGCTGCCTCTGCTCCACGCTGCTCGGTGCATCTTCGGGCTCCCTGCCGATCGCATGGGTGAAGCCGCGGTGAATTCCGCAAAAGGAGTGCCGGCGTCACATTGCATGTCTTTGCGCAAGTGGCCGAAGAACTTTGCCTCGCCGCTGACTGACTTGCGGCTTCATCGAGCCGCCAGGACCTGTCAGGCTGTCAAAGTCAAAGGGAGGGCTGGGAACAAGGCGTCCGCGTCCGGGCTGAGGCTGAGGTTTTTCAGCGCTGCCTGGCAGGGATCATTTTCTGCATCATAACGAGTCCTTAGAGTCTTGGTCCTGGTCGTTTTAGAGATCCGCCAGTCAGTCCAGCAAACCCTTGCGGTCTTCACCTCCGAGTCGTTGGAAGCCTCAAAGGGTCTCAGGCCTCGAAGGCCAGGCCGCGCATTGGGCCCCAGGCCCTTTCGTTTTGGCCTGTCCTTGACTGCCTGACCTTGGGCCGGGTCGCCTCAGAACGCTCGCAGCCGGAGACAGGCTCCAGTGGCCGGTCCTGACCTTTGCTTTGCCACTTCTGTGCTGCTTGCAACGTGTCCAAAGCCCAAAGCTGAATGGTACGTGTGTGTGAACCTCCGAGGCTCGTCTGCGTCGGCTAGATCCGAGACCCAGACCAGGTAAGGACCCCGTGACCCTGTAGGTACTTGACAACTCCGAAAAGCGTGTCCTTGAAGAGAGTTCCCTTAGATGCACAGCACTCCTGGTAACTCTTGAGACCTGTGTTTTGAGCGCAGTCATGGTTGCCTGCTGCAACCTCTGCTCCTGGCCACACTTGAGGAATCCGTGGAAATGCAAGTCTAGCAGGTTACGAAGGAAGCAGAGCTGTCTGCCACGCTGTGGGGATGCCTGTAGTCAGACTCCCACTCGCCCAAGCAGTTTGCTTAGCTTCGCTTAGCTTCTTGCGCAACCTAGCAGAGCGCTAAGTGAGACGGTTGGCGCCCAGGTACTCGTTGTGGAGACCGCCCTTCTCTCATTCGAGTTGTCTCCATTTCAGCAAACGGTGCAGGTATTTCAAAGGCAGCCGAGCATCCATGCTTCAGCGCGGGCTCTGAGACTTGCTTTTGCAACAACCGTGATAAACGCTGACCCCTGCTTGGTCTCTTCTCTCAGACCGGTAACAAAGTTTAGAAATCTATGCTGATTCCGATACGGGCCACAACCTGAACCGAAGTCCTGTCCGCTGACTCGAGATGCAGTGTACTTCGCACTCGATGCTGGCTTAGCCACAGCTCCTGCACCTTCAGTGTTGCGGTGCAGAACACATGAAACTGTGGAGACTGAGCCTGAGGGTCATTACCCTGCCTAGAGCGTACCGATTTCTTTCAATTTCTTCCCAAATCCCACAAAAACATTTTGATTGCTTACCACTTCTTGATTCCACCTTTGCACAGGCGGCGTGGTCCTGAAACGCAGGACCTTTCGCGCTTGACCGACCTTCAGCACCTATAGGAGCTTCTTCTTCCCGTGCCCAGTCTTCTCTTGCGCTTCTTACCAGAGTGAGTAGCAGGGTGCTATGGGAGTTTTGAGTGCGATGGCCAGATGAAATGCGATCCGGCAGCCCGCTGCCGTTGAGATCTAAATGGCTTCATGAATCCCTCAAGCCTGTCACGACGGCGGCTTTCGGAAGTTTTTGCCGTGGGCTCTACCCTCGACTGTGAAAGCAATGGGGAGTGCCAGGTGCTGGAGCTTCGCAGAAGCATTTCGAGTGTGGCCGTCTGAAATTCAAATCTTTAGGCCCGCCGAGGTGTCAGACGTGCCAATTCTGTGGACAGACCCCATCTTTTTGCACCGGTATTGTGGTGTCTGCGGAGTGCGTGGTGGATGGGGTCGCAGACTCTGCCGATCGCTAAGGGTGCAGTGCTGGCACCGTCACAGAACATGCATCTGCGAGGTGCTCCACAGCCGAGTTTCTTCCTGTGAACCCACGTTGTCTGGTGAGCCCCGTCAGCTGCATGTCAGGAGGGGGCTGTGGCCAGTTGCTCGGAAGTTTCGATTCGTCGGAAGATCCTGACACGGATGCTGTTTCGGATGAATCTGAGCAGCACTACACCTTGTGCGAGTGGAAGCCTAAAATCGTGCAGACCGTGCTTTAACCTCAAGCTCAAACCACATGAATGCTATTCCTGCCAGTGATATCTGGATGTGGGAGCACGGATGCTTTTGCAGTTGCACTAGCTGCTTGAACACACATTGAGCAAGTGGAGTGGAGGGGCTTCTTTTCGAACACGCATAGATGGAAGAGGTAGAGGTATTATCATGTAACATGTAGACATGCGAGTTCGAGGGCAGAGGATTCAGGGACACACGTAGAATGCACACATGCACTCGCGCACACTGTCTCTTTGTCAGCATCGTAGAGCAGCAGTCGCAGAGGGTTTTGGGTCCGTTCTCACGAGATCTCTTGGCATTTCCCGCCACGAGCTACGACACCCTCGAGCTTTCCATGGCTGACCGCTCCCGGAATTTGTGCGCTGGCAGCAGTATTGACAGCATCGGCACCAAGGTACCACAAAGGTAAGCCTAACTCAAAGCTGGGACTTGACCGCGAGGAAGGATAGGAGCAGCAGAAGCGACGGGGTGCATGCTGCCGTCTGGACGGGAAGTAGCCAGTCTTGCAGTTCAGTGTGTTGGATCCTTAGTTCTGAGCCGTTCTCATCAATCTCAAAGTCAAGAGACTGAGGCTAGCAATAGCCTCGGGCTTCCGAATCGGCAATGCCCGCACAAGGAAGGTGTCGGCGACAGTGGGATGTCAGGTTCATGAGGAGGTTTTAGTGCTTGGTTGCATCGTCAGGGCATGGCTCGGCTAAGTTCCCGAACCCGAGCCCGTCCTCGGATTTTGTCGTGTCGCTGTCGTATCTTTGGAATATATCGGACTATCGGGATGGTCGAGCAAGCAAAGAACGGGTGCTTCCGTGCCCCAAGATTTTGACAAACGCTCTCCTCAGTCATGCACGAATTTGTACCCCATGCGTCAGGCAGAACTCCTCCTGCTTCGCGACTTCCTGCTTGGACAACTGGGCACTGAAGAGGCGGAGCATGTGTTGAGAATTGTAAGTCTGAGGCCTTAAATCACTCTAGGCATCGGCCTTCAGAGTCTGACAGAGCAAGCTTTCATGCAATTTCTTCAGGACACTGCCACGGCACAACGGATTGGACGTCTGCTGATTGCCGGAGGCTTCTGGGCTTAGCAGGTCTTGATCGTTTCGCTGTCGGATCTCGAAGCTGGGAGTGTGCCCAGGACTCCATGCTGAAGATGCCGAGCTCCCAAGCTGTTCTGCCCTCAGAGAAGCAGCCCTTCCAGTGCTTCCAGTGTTCTGTGCTGTCGGCTCGCTGAGATGACCGGATCTTTGGATTAGCCTCCCGGGAAGAATGTTGCTGGCACGGGTTGCAGGTGCAGCAGTTGTCCGTGTTTACAACTTCGGTCAACGAATGATTCGGATCTTGATCTTGGGGGGTCTTACTCGGAAGCTGGTGGCCGCCTGAGCTCAAACCTGGCCACGCGGGTCCCAGCGATTGTGGCATTTAGCAAATCCCTATACTGCTCGCACGAAGACTGGCAGCAGCATCACTAGAACACACGCTCCGCAAGGCATTCAAGAATCAACGCGAACGATGACCAAAATCTCATGATGCATTTGCTTCGGCTGTCTTCAGAAGAAGCAACAGCAACAAGTAGCAATCGAAAAGCAACGTGCGCAGTCTGTCGAGCTTGAACACTTCTAAAGCCAATGCAGTGCGCAGTGTGAGGGTTGTGTGAGTTGTGTGACAGTGACGCAGTCCAGCTTTGGGTGTCAGGCTTTGGGGCAGCTCGGACTAAGGACTCAGAGTTTCAAAGGTTCTAGGCCGTCTTGCGCCCCTCTTTAGCACCATGGACTTCAAGCAGGAGTTGAACCAGTTTCTCCAGAAGACGCTGTGCTGAAATTTCTGCAGTGCTGCATCCCGCATGTGCCAGTTGTCAACCAACCGTTGATGGCCTGTCACCGTTGGTCCGATGTAGCGGTCTCAAAGGGTGATGGGAGTCCAGTGGCCGCTATGGTCAAGGTTGAGTTGAAGGGTCTGCATTTGCTACTGCCGCAGACTGTGAACCCGACTCAAGCAAAGGCATTGCAAGCGACCGCTGACGAAGACGGACATCGCCTACACCGTTAGCAGCTCGAGCGAGACAGCTTATCTTCAGCTCAGTATGGTCTTTGTGTTGGAGTTCTTTGAGGCTGCTGAGGTTGACAGGTGCGAAGTAACATTTGCCTATACCTGCCCACCCTTCGAGAAGCAATTTGTCTTCGGGCACCTTCTGACCCTCCCATCTGAGGCAAGTATGGAACGCAATTTCAGGCACGCTGATGTTAAGCGTGGTGTCTTGTGGTGTCTTTGGGTTCAGCTGCCGGCCTTGTGCTCGACCTGGCAGAGAGCCTCGGCGCAGGCGATCGTGCGACTCAATTGCCTCAACGGCCAGGAGTACGCCGGACATCTGATGGCTGATGCCAAGGTGGATTCTTGCAGATTCTGTCAGTGAATCGGTTGGCTGATCGGCCCTCATGTTGTCAGAACTCTGGCACGGCCACTGCGACCTGCAGACGTGTAAGTGGGTAACAAATGGGTAACTTCTTGCCCTGCCGTCAAAGACCCCTGAGACGTGCAAAAGCGTAGTTTGCAGCTAGACGTGATGGCAGCCCTGAACTCGACAGGCTGCTGAGAAGTCTGCAGCCCAGCAGGCGATCGAAGCTAACGCCACCCTCGTGGAGGCCCGAGCCTAATTTTGTTGCAGAAAGCGCTATGACCTCCATTGGCTGCCATCTGTGTTTTTTTGCTTCCTGTGTTTCGCTGATTGCAGGAGCTTTCCATGTTGAGACTGTGTGCTCACATGT